CCCCCCCATTTATTTATTTATTTTTAGTTTCCCTTCTGGTTCAGGGAAAGCCGCATCCCCGTGCTCCGTGGGTCGGGGATCTGCTGGGGCGCGCTCCCCCAGCCTCCCCAAAGCCGCGGGAACTCCTCGCACACCCCGGGTCCCCGGCCCTCACCTGGCTGGCTGGCGGAGCTCTGGACGCGGTTGTAAGCCCCGCTGTACTGGTGGTAGGGGCTGGCGTAGCTGTAGTCTGCATAGGCTTTGGCAGGATAGTTCCCGGCAGATCCGTTCATGCCGTGATACTGATACTGGTAGGGGTTGAGCGCTTTGCCGTAGGAAGCCGAGGTAGGCGAGCAGTAGCCGTGCGGGGCTCCCCCCGCCGGGCTGTAGTAGTCGGAATCCGTAGCGGAGGACTCGGGTAAAGTGGGAGATTCCTGGGACGGGTGGTGCATGGCTGCAGCCGTCTGGAAAGGAGCTTGGAAGTCGCCGGATCTGATGTTGGGGACCCTTCTGTCAAATACTCCTGTCATAGCTCGGAGCCGGGCGGGCTGGGGCTGGCGGCGGGGCTGCTCGGGTCTAAGCAGACATGTCTGGGGGAGGAGGCTGCGGCGCGGTGTCTGTCTCCGGCAGACTGCTGGCTGGGGCGCAGCATAGGCTTGGTTAAATCCTTAATTGCGCTCTTACGCACAGCAGGGTGGATCGGGTTCCATTGGCCAGAGCAATCGGGAGCAGCGACACCCTAACTCGTCCAACTAGTTTAGCACAACAAAGCTTTGGCTTAAAAAAAAAAAAAAAAAAAAAAAAAAAGAAGAGGGGGGGAAAAAAGGAGGAAAAGAGTCCCATTCAACCTCTTTTTAAAGTGAATACCAACAGCAATCTCCGAGTCGGAGCGCCGCGATTGGGAGGTTTCCGGCTCCCCCCACCCCTGTAGCCGGCGAGGGGGCTCGGCCAGCCCCGCCGCCCCGCAGCCCGCTGCCCCCGCACCTCCACCCGCAGCGCCCGGGGGGAGGGCTGCAGCCACGCCGCTCGGATTTGCCGTCCGGTCCCCCTTGGCTACGCTGATGGCTTGGGGACACCGCACCGGGCGCTCCTGGTTCCAACTCGATTTCTGATCTGGTGACAATAACCATTTAGCGTCTGACCGTGCTGTTTCCCTCGGACCGTCCTCCTTTCCCGGGGAAACGTCCGGGACCTCCGCGCTAAATACAGCAAACCCTATTACCCCCAAGTACCTTGAATTTTAGTTACATCATTTCCTGCATTTCCAAGACCCTAGCACGGCCCGGAGCCAGCGGGAGACTCCCGGCATAATGCCCTGCCGTCGGGGTGTGGGGGAGCTGCTAGTGGCACCATACGGCCTAGGGGCACTTACCCCGCGGATTTCGGCAAAGGCAACCTGTCCGTGGCACGGTGCCCGTGGCTGGAGAGCCCCCGACTCTCTCGCCAGCTCCGGAGCCCCTCAAAGTTCGCTTGTGACCTCTCGGCCCCACGAACGTGCGTTCCTCAAGCCTCCGGGGCGATGCTCGCAGTCTGGTCTGCCTCCGGCCCAGGGTCAGGAGCCCCTCACGAAGGGAGCGCAAATCACCCTCACGCGTGGGCAGGACCACTGTGAGGCCGTCGTGGGGCTTCTCCACTCGGAGGCTGTCGCAAGAGCCCGCTTTCCGGGTGACAGCCCCACAGAAGCGACCGGAGCTGTGCGGGGGTATCGTCCCCACAGCGCTCCGGCCAGCAGCACCCTCCTTCACCTGCACGCGGTCGTTCTCCCGCACCCATCCACGCAGCCAGGTCCGGTGATGCCCGTCCCTGCTGATTTCGCAGCAGTGTTGCAAAAAAAAAAAAAAAAAAAAAAAGGATCAAATTTTACTAGACACTAAGGAAAACAAATAAAAGGCTGTTTTCAGTGACCTGGAGTTGTAGATTTTTCTGAAGTTGTTTACTCTCCAGATTTAGCCTGTTTGCTCACCGAAGATCTCCCAGCCAGCTGAGTAACACTTGTAACACAACCGTGCATGTTGTACTTGAACTTATTGTTTGCTTTGGAAATGTCCACAGCTCATATAAAATCATATTAAACAAATCCCTAAGCATTTCATTACATGTTTCACTTACTTAAATCCATTGGAAATATCTCTCCCCACTCTATTTTTTCCCTTCCCCCCCTTTTTTTTTTTTTTTTTTTTTTTTTGTAAAGAGAGGAATCAGAGAGGGATATATGTTTATGACTGGGGAAGGGGAGAGTAAGTTTATTAAAGCTCCCAGTTTGCATCCAGTTAGAAGGGACGGTAGAGGTTTTAAGCAGACGTAGAGGGGGAGGAAAGCCCATTTGTGTCATAAATTCCAGGGCACTGCACTTCAACACGTTCGGGCAGGAAGGTGCCGTTTTAGGGGAGAGAACGGCAGAGGAGCTGGGCGCCGGTCTCGCACCCAGCCTCGGCAGCTCTGGAGCCGCGGCGGGTTCTGGGCAAGCTGTCCCGACAGGCTGCTTGTACAGCTCACCGGGGAAATCTGGATCTCTGCGCAGAGAAAGTTTCCTCTTGTTTTATTCAGTAGCAGGGCAAGGGAAAAAAAAAAAAAAAAAAGGCAGAAGCCCAACAGATCCAACCGCAAACCCCCCAAGCTGATTTTTTTTTTTTTTTTTTTCTGAAGGCATCCGCCGCCGTTGCAGTCCGTGCGAGGATTACCGGGCTGAGGGCACACAAATCCGCCTGTTTGCGGGTTTCCTGCCCCCCGTCCTTCCCAGGCCGAACCCGATTTTCTTGCCTTTCTGCTGTTTTCCCCCAGCGGTTTTTATTTAACACATCCGGTGGGAGCGGGCGGTTCGGAGGGAGCCGGAGTCTGTTTTCCATTTCACAATACGGTCATTGTTTACCGGCACATGCCCGCCGCGTCGCCTGAGCGGCTGCCCGGGGCCCCCGCGGCCCGTTCGGGCCCGATCCCCGCTGCCCCTCGGGGGAGGTGGGCGCTGTGTCCGTGTGTCCGTGTGTCCCGGCAGCGCCGCCGGCAGCGGGGCGCGGGGGCGCCGCGGAGGCGCGCGGGCCGTGGGCGGCGGCGGGCGCGGAGCCGGGCGGCCCCGCCAGCGCTGTCCCCTCAGGGCACGGGGACCGGGGCGCGGGAGCCGCCGGGCCGGCGGCCGCGGCAGGACAACGCGGCGATTGTTCCCGCCTGCGCCTGGGAGCTGCCACGGGGGCGGCGCTGGGGCCCCGACCGAGCGAGCCCCGCGGCGGGACGGGCGCTGCGTCCCGGCCGGTGCCCGCCGGCCGCCCCGCCCTGCCCCGCTCCTGGTCGGGAGTCTCCCACCGGCTGAACCCTCCGCCCGGGTTCACGGAGGGCTCTCCGTCCCCTCTCGCTCTGCAGCGCTTTGTTTCCGGCCAACGAGAGAAATATTTCGGATGAGCCTCTCAGACTTTTGGATAAAATCTTGCAATTGTTCACAGAAAATCTTTCACTTTCTGGATAAAATATTCTCTCTTGGGCATCGAGTTTTTGCTGGGAAACTTTATTTGCATGGAAATTGCTGGCAAAGAATGAAAGGAAATTTTTCCCCTTCCTTTAAAAAAAAAGCCCCAGACAGCCCTCCGCAGTGGAAACACAGATTAACTCTTGTTTTACAGCATCAGAAAATGGTGATTGCCATTCAACAACTTCTGCAACTGAGGACTTTCCTCATCTTAGGCTTAGGACTTGTTTACCTAGGGGGTTGTTTTCGGAATGAGGAGGCAAAGGGACTGAAAGTCCTTGTATTCTCACCCAAGGCAAAAAAAAAAAAAAAAAAAAAAAATTGTGCTGCAAGGTCAAAAGTCTTGAAATGTTCAGTATGGGCAAAAGCTATCGGGGATCCAGTGGAGAGGGCTAGTGAACTGCCCAGAAAAATGTTCACAAGACAGCGAGAAAGGGAGAAATGCAGGAAAGGATTTTGGAAAGCAGCAATTGCAAGCAGGGAAGGAGAAATAAACCCGATGGAAAACTCAAGGAAGGTCTGACTTTCATCTAAGACTTTTTGCTCACATTTCAATAGCTTTCTAAAGAGCCTCTGGCATTGGGCACAGCTGGTTCAGGGAGAGGAAAATGGGCATGTCTCCATGTAGGCACGACATGCTCTGCTTTGGGGAACTGAAGTCACTCCTAAAGGAAAGGATGTCTGTGTTCACGTGAAGGTCACCATTTGTCTTGATGGAAGGATGCACGTGTGAACTTGGGATCAAAGCCTGCGTGGTCCCTCAAACGCTGGTGCAGGCATTGTTTTAGTCCTCCATCCAAAAGGGTCATCCATCCAAAAGGGTAATTTCCCATCCCTGGAACAACCTTTTCTCTTCCAGTTTCTTATGCCCAAGAATCACTCGGCCTCCAGCTAATGAAGTGAGCCTGTCACCTTGGCATTTCCATGGCTGATGGATTCACTGCCAGGCTTGGCCACAGACTAGGCTCTGCTGGCCTCGCTTGTCCAGCTTGTAAATTGCACAGCACATAAAAACCATGACATACAATGTTAGGAATTAGAATTTGCCTTTTAGGGCAACCTGTGACTGTCTCTTTCGGTTGCCAAGGAGCTGACAGTAGAAGAGTACACTTGCACCTATTTCCTCCAAATTGCACCAGCGTGAGTGAAGAGAGGAGCTAGGTCTTCCTGTTAAGGTCAGCTGTAGCAGGCTGAGCAAAATGCGGGGGACAAGGTGACGTTAAGAGATTCCTGCCTGCATCCCCACTTCCATCCTTTCTCACAGCATGCCTTCCAGGGTTGCTGAGGGGTTGCTTAGCTGTTTCTTGAAGCATCACAGCCTTCCCAAGGCAGGGCATTGCCTTGCAGTCCCAGCTGAGTCATGGCCTGTTCCTCCAGAAAGAGAAATATTCAGTGAACTCGACCACTCCTTTGCATTTTGGAGCTCTGTCCATATAAGCTCATGGGGCAGATGGGGAACTCACATTATTCTTCCATTCATGGGCTCCACATGGATGTGAGCCATCTCAACAAATATGGAGATGTGCCCTGGGCTGGGCAGGATGTTCCAGGAAAAGTCTGTCCTAGTCCTTTTTTCCCATTTCTAGCCCATATGCTTCCATTGCAATGTAATGCTTCCCTCTTTCTAAGGTCATGGAGGCCAGCAGAGAACCATTATCAGAAAACCCAGCTTCTCCCAATGGAGCTGTTCTTCTACCTGCCTGCTCCTCAGGTAGTTGGATATTTTGTTTATATCTTGTTATTCCAAGAACTGTAGGTGCTTCAGCTGATGTGAGGCCCAGTGGTTTCAAAGAAAGCCAAGGCACAAACCAGGTGGAGCCCTCTCCTCTCTGCAGTTTGGGTCAGCAGTGAGAGCTGCAGAATCAAGGCTCCCTGCACAGTTGCCCGGAGGTTCCACTACAGATGTTTGAGTGTGGATCTGGAGCTGCATGGGCCAAGCTGCTGCTGGAGCTGCTGCTCTGATGCAGAGCATGAGCTAGCACCACTGGAGAGCTGAATGTAAAATCTCTCTTTGCCAGAAACACTACAGGGAAAATATTTGCTCTAGCTGCTCTTGCTGCCCAGAGGCGGTGC